ATATATATGTATATATATATATATATATATATATATATATATATATATATATATATATATATATATATATATATATATATATATATATATATATATATATATATATATATATATTTATTGTTTATAGAGAGAGAGAGAGAGAGAGAGAGAGAGAGAGAGAGAGAGAGAGAGAGAGAGAGAGAGAGAGAGAGAGAGAGAGAGAGAGAGAGAGAGAGAGAGAGACCTAGAGTTTTGAGGATGAATGATGAATCCATGGGAATGGTCTCTCCTAGTTTGATCAAGAGTATTGCTATAAGTGCTAATGGAATCTTCTTGTCTAGAATAGTAATTTCGCAGCAACTTGAACCGAAACATATATTTCCACGACGAAGAAGACGATGATCGGGATGTCGAATCTTGCAGATCCTCAATCTGAAAATCTTGATCATCATCATCCACTCCTGCAGATTCATTACTATCTCTTGTATTATTTTTATGCAGCATCTTAATTATTCTTCTCCAATATAATATGTCAACTGATGATTATTATTGTGTGAAAACCACAGCTTGCTTTGATTGCTTTGTGTTCATCATAGTACAATTCTTGTCTTATTTATAACAACACTTTACTACTGACATATGTTATTAATTAGTACTACTCTTTTATGCATGATGAATGTGTGTGGTTCCACTGCTGCATGTGTTGAGGTTGGGTGGGGTGGGTGTAATTGTAAATGTAATTGGAGGGTGTGCTTTAATTAGGGCTTTTTTTTTTTGTTTTTTTGTTTTTTTGTTTTTAATTATGATTTAAACATGAATGTTACACCTGATTATTAACCGTAAATTTACACATAAACACGCATACATCCATGTGTATATGTACTTAGTAGGTAGTTATTTAATCAAATTTTTGGTTCAAAATGTACCCGGTGTAAATAACCATAGTGTAGCATCTGATTCTCCAATTAAAACCCCTAAAGTTTGATATAATTATAGAGAGCCCCATCTTATTTAAGAAATTATAATTATATTCTCAAATTGGTGGCTTGTCGAAAATCCTAAAGGGAAAATTAGTGAAAACCTTCTCGTTTTGAAATTGCATTGAGATAGATTCACCTTTTGAAAATAATTAGTGATAACCCTATCATTATATTTTTTCGCGATTTTTTTGAATTAAACTGGACGTAAATCGACTACATTGTTTGTGAAGTTGATTTAATTTATTAATCGATTATAGTTGATTAAAATATTAAAGTGTATATTAGACCTAAAATATTAAATCGACTATAAAGAAGGGGATTAAAGTGATATCGAGCCAAAGGACAAGGGGGCAAATTGATGCAATGGGAATAGAAGGAGGTAAAGTGATATCGTGCTAAAGTACAAGGGAGCAAATCGATGCAATTGAGAGTAGAAGGGAGTAAAATGATATCGAGCCAAAGTACAAGGGGGAAAAGTGGAATTTACCTTAAAAGAAACAAGTTGATTTACTAATCGACTATAGTCGGTTACGTAAACTGTGACATAACAATACTAAAATCGATGGCAAAAAACCTGAAGTGTATCGGACGGATGAGAGAAGCTCTGGCACATGAGGCGTTGGTCGGGGACGTAGAGGAAGAAGTTGCCGGTTTATGAAGTCCAGCCAGTGGTGCCTCGACAGTAGTGCTGAAAAATAATTGAATTTTACTTTATGCAGATAGTGCTGAAAATTTATTCTATAATCATACTTTGATTTCTGTTTAAGCATCTGAATTTATGCCAAGGCCTTTTATTTTTTTCAATCGACATAACACCACTTAATTTGAATTTGGCATCTAACTATTATATTACTATTGTTTCATAAGCTAAGTTGAAAATCAAATCAATTATTCGATAATACACTTCATTTTGAAATTTGACCACATATTTCATTTCATAAGTTTAGAAACTCAATTAGAAAAAAATACTAAAATATGTAAAAGAAAACAAGATGATCGAGCTTAATTGATTCGTGTTCGACTCCATTAAAGTTAGTCTAGGTACTCTACTCGATTCTTTATTAGACCAAACTTAGACATAGAGTTTAAAGTTCAATGCATATTCGAACAAGTTTAAATAATCATGTTTGTGTTCGGTTCGAATCGATTCGATCACACCCGTATTCATAAATACGGCATGTGACGATCAACTTTTCTCGCATAGTATATGGGTTGTCGATCACGTGTATACATTATCAAGGTTTCCACTTTTCATATTTTTTTTCTTGAATATAAATTTCCTTTTTGTTTTCTTTTTCAACTTTGACTTTTGAAAACAACGCAATGAGCTCTCGCATCATCCTGCCACCGTCCTTGCGCCAAACTAAGGGGATGATATTAATTTTTAGGGGGAAGTTAGGAATATTATATTAGAGGGGAAATATGCCTCACACCCTTCAAACCAAACCTAATAAAATATGAGTGACACCCTTAAATAAAATATTTTAGCTACATTCCTATTTCAAAATAAAAACTAATACACATCCTTTATTTTTTATTTAACCCCAAAATACCCTTACAATACCTAATAAATGTCACTCTTTCTCTTTCTTCTCCTCTCCCTCTATCTCACGCCGCCCAACACCCCGCCTTCTGACTTTCTCCTTTTTTGCCCCACCCACTCCCTCCCTCTCTTCTCTCTCTCATATGCCGTACCCAACACCCTCTTCGGACTTTCTCATTTTCTCCCCCACCCACCCACCCACCCACCCACCCACTCCCTCTCTCTCTTCTCTCTCTCTCATATGCCGTGCCCAACCTCCTCCTCCTTTTTTTCTTTTTTTTTTTTCCTTTTTATTTCTGTTTTAACATATTTGTATTCAATAAATGATTAAATTCAATTACAGTGGAATAGTTATGGAGGCTATGACAGTGGTTATGGTAAGTGTCGACGGTTATGGTAGCGGTGGTTATGGTAAGTGGCGACGACTATGGTGGCGACGACATGGGTTGTGCGGTGGGAGTTGTGGTTATGGTTGGGATGTTATTGAAATTATATTTTGAATAATTAATTGCATCTGATTTTCTTTTCTTTTAAATTTTTTTGCTTAGTTTGGGTTGTTAGGGGCTGCGGTGGTCGGCGGTGTTGGGGGCTGCGGTGGTCGGCGGTCTTGGGGCTGCCGGTGGTCGGCGGTGTTGGGGCTGCGGTGGTCGGCGGTGTTGGGGGGCTGTGGTGGTCGGCGGTGTTGGCTCCTATGACGGCTGTTGTGTTTACGACTAGGGTTGGTGAGATTGGGTGTTGTTGGCTGATAGGGTTTGGTAGTATACCGTAGTATTCTTTACTATAGTAGACTGTAGTATACCATAGTCTACATGGTATACTACACTTTACTATAGTACACTGTAGTATACCATAGTCTACATGGTATACTACACTATTGACAACAAATAAATTATAAAAAAAATAAAAATTATATGTAGCTTGAATTAACAAACACGAAAAATAAATTTTTTTTCTTCGTAATTTTCAATATCATGTAGGATTTGTTTTTTAATAATAGTGTAAAAAATATAAGACACCATAGTATACCATAGTGCACCATAGAATTTTTAAAATTTGCTGAATTATTTAACAATTTTTTTTTTCCCGTAATTTTCAATAAAATATAAAAAATAAGGAAAATAAACTGTTTATAATAATGTAGAAAATGTTATAGTGATAATTGAAAAAATAAAGATAAGTAAAAGGGCATTTTCGGAATAAATTTTATAAAGGATGTGAAGCAAATGTTTAGTTGAGCTTGTCATTTAGTTCTAATTAGTTTTATCACTAGGGACCTATATCTTAAGACCCCTATATTATATATATATATGGGTGCAAATTTAGATCGAATGGTCTGTTTTAATAGAAAAATCGGATGCCATAGGATGATTGACACGTGTATAGTTTAAATAAAAATATAATTAGGATTCTAATAATTGGAAAAAAAAGGGAAAGAGAAAACCCCAATAGAACCCATAACATTATAATCAACATGATTTATTAAGAGTTAAGACTTAAGACTTAAGAATATCACGTGTTAAAAATTAGTGGAATTCGATTTATATTAAATATCGGCAGATCCGCTCAGAATTTAATATATATATTAGAGAGAGAGAGGATGTATGGAGGTCATATATTTGGAAGAGTAAGATTACTTTAAGAGAAAATCATCTATCACATTACACATATATCACGTATAGGGCCATTGTAAAATAAGCCGAGCAGACTCGTAAGCTTGATAAGCTAGTTAGACAAAAGTTTGAGTTCACGAGCTCAAGCTTTCCGATGAGCTTGAGCTCGCGAGATTTTCTATATTCTATTTCTTTTACTTTTATTAAAAATACAAATAATATATAATAATAAATACATACAAAATCAAAGAAATTATATATATATATATATATATGTAATTTGACTAAACTTATTTTAAACAACTTATAAGCTTCTACATTTGGTAAACTATTTTAAGAGCTGATAAATTATTAAATCTGTTGAGAAACTAATAAATGATATACAAGAAGTAGAGAACAAAGTAGGGAGAATATATAATATGTTATTCCATATCTTCAAGTGTAGAAATACATTACATGGTACTCTATATATAGCACTAGAAAGAACTCTCAAAGATCATGAATTACAAGACCATAATGAGATCATCAATAGGTATTATGGTGTGATAATGGTGGGAGTAATGGTGCTTGATGATGGTGAGTAATGGTGGTTATCCACACCTTCAAGAATTCATAACAAAATCTTATTTTAACAATAATTTTGTTAGATGTTTTAGATATAGAACTTATAAGTTACTTCTAGATTTTATAAGTTTCTTAAGTGTTTGAGTCACAAAAGTAATTTAAATTTCTTTAACTAAATTGGTCAAGGGATCTATAGCAATAATATTATATTGTTCTCTTGGACTTCAACATATAGAAGATTGAAATTAGGGTTGTTGAGCCAAATTCTCCTACATTTTTCGAGCATATCATACCATATTTGAATGAGAAAAAGTATTGACAAGATTCAGTATATCTTAAAAACAATAAACTTTAAAAAGTCTGTTCAGAGTCCCTTGCTTAATGGGATGGTGTTGCTCGTACCTCGAACTTTCGCGGACGCTCTGTTTAAACAACTGAACATTTCTAAACGAGCTCATCAAGGCGTACAAAAGCCCCCGCATTAGGGCATTATCCATATAAACGTAGATGCTAGCTTATCTACGGGAGCCGATTACTATGCCACATTGTTGGTTGCTCGAGATGTTAACGGACAGTGCATTCGGTTGAGGGCAATAAGATTTTGGCCTATTTATTTTCATTTTGCTCTTTTTTCTTTATTAACCGACATGGCAATCGTCTTGCTCGTGATTTAGCTTCTTTGACTGTTTTCAATTGTTTGGACTTTGGTCGAGAGTGCTTAATATAAATAAACTTGATAATGTTTATTGTTTACACATCTCTTTGACACCACAATTTAGATTTTGAAGTTACACACATTGGTGAATTTATATATATAAACAAATTGAGCTTAGTTGAAATAGGCCTACTAGTCTTCACTATAAAGTGACCCACCATTTGTCATTTCACGTTCCCAAAATACTCATCTAAGTTTTATTTAATAGGTCTACACGACCTTTGTCATACCAAAATATTATGTAATTAATTAATAAATGCAAGTCAACTAATCAGAGTTACAATTAGATAATCGCCTCGTCGGAAAAATCCTGCTAATTGAAACTCTACTCGCCACTCCCGTTGGAAAAAAAAATCAAACATCTAAATCAAATAAACTGATCGGACCTTCAACCACTCGTAAACTAAATCGAGTCAACTAGTTCGAGCTCCGTTGACTCGCCAATGCTGACAACCGATGGCTACCTCCGTTTCATATTGATATTAAGTGGCATTTTGACCAATTAATAATTTCACATATATAATAAATGTCACTTTAGGTTTTTAAGAAAAAAATAATTTATTTTACCAAATTTACCGTTTATTGTTCAAATTCATTAATTGATTACTAAGTTAGTGAGGGACTATCCAATAAATCCAAAGAAATTAGAAAGAATAGTTTGGAATTTAGAGTCAATCTATTTCTAGGGAAGAGTGTGGGAAACTGGGAATCGTAATCATCTTTTCCACGTAGCATCAAATCATTTACTAATATTATATTAATAAAATAAACCCCCTTTTCTAGCTCACATTATTAAGAAACTGAACTCCGATTCCCAAAATATTCATTTGCCAGCAAAAAACCTCACTAAGAAAAAACAGCTCGATCATGGCATCTCTAGGATTCGCTCGCCAGATCAGCAATTCGTCGGCGGATTTACTAGTGGCGCCGCCGCGCCGGAGTCGGAGCTGCTGCCCCGGCAGAAACCGAGTCGATTTCAGGGTGTTCGCTCAGTCCGATGCGGAGCCTGATCTCAGCGTGGTGGTCAATGGGTTGAAAATGCCCAACCCGTTTGTGATCGGGTCGGGTCCTCCGGGTACCAACTACACCGTCATGAAACGGGCCTTTGATGAAGGTTGGGGTGCCGTCATCGCCAAAACGGTATATATATATATACCCTTTTTTCCTGAAGATTTTCATCAGCTGTAGAATTACTTTTTATATTTATTTGTTCAACTTTATTGCGTAACGGATCATAGATTTATAAGCTGGTTGATATGGATTGTGTTTTTAATTCAGTGATTTTGATGTTTCCGTAGAGAATAATTTCATAATTCAGCACTTTAATCGGCTCTAGAATTTGATCGAATGTTTGAATGAAGAAATATATGTGAGCACTTATAGTCAGTAATTCGGACCAAATTAAGATTGCGAGATTCCGATTATGTCAGAATTGTTTTTTGTAAATGCATATGGATGGGTATTATAATTCTGGGAAGTTCGCAAAGCAGAGTACAAAGAGGATGAAATAGTAAAAATCTATAATCCTTTTCGTATTTCGATGTGAAGTAAGTCGAAGTTGATAGATTCGTTTTGAGCTGTAGGTTAATTAACTTAATTTTCCTCTATGAAATGACTAAGTTAGCAACTCTTGTATAGTTTTACCAAGCCTAAGCATTCATAGTTCGTTATACAGAGAAATGGTAACTTCGGCTGATTAATTTGCTATCCTTAATTCCTTATATTTCGATGTGAAGTAAGTCGAAGTTGATAGATTCGTTTTGAGCTGTAGGTTAATTAACTTAATTTTCCTCTATGAAATGACTAAGTTAGCAACTCTTGTATAATTTTACCAAGCCTAAGCATTCATAGTTCGTTATACAGAGAAATGGTAACTTCGGCTGATTAATTTGCTATCCTTAATTCCTTATATTTCGATGTGAAGTAAGTCGAAGTTGATAGATTCGTTTTGAGCTGTAGGTTAATTAACTTAATTTTCCTCTATGAAATGACTAAGTTAGCAACTCTTGTATAATTTTACCAAGCCTAAGCATTCATAGTTCGTTATACAGAGAAATGGTAACTTCGGCTGATTAATTTTCTATCCTTAATTCCTTATATTTCGCTGACATAAATATCCCTGTTAAGATGTTAGGCATTGTGATTATCGGGGTATGCAATGTAAATTTAACAATTATATACATGATAGGGGGAAAATCTAATGAAGTATGACTCTTAGGCATTTGAACGAATAAACTAGTGAATTGTGACTAAATTAGTAGTTTGTGGCTATTTCTTTACTTGCCAACATTATAAAGATTACAGAGTGCGAACACTCATCTGATAAATTTATCTTTTACTTTAGAAAAAAAAAAGAGGAAACTTGAGGGTAGACTTGTGATGGAGTTTTCGTGAATATGAAAGAGGGAGTGGATTTGGAAGAGTTAGTTTTTTTTTTAATATGCAATTTCACTAGTAATTTTTCATTGAAACATGATTTTGTTTAACTGTTTGATTAAAAAATAGGTGTCGCTGGATGCTGCAAAAGTTGTAAATGTTACACCTCGGTACGCCAAATTACGAGCCGGAGCAAACGGCTCAGCAAAAGGACAGATAATAGGGTGGCAGAACATTGAGCTCATTAGTGACAGGCCTTTAGAGACAATGCTAAAAGAATTTAAACGTCTGAAAGAAGAATATCCCAACAGGATTCTTATTGCTTCGATTATGGAAGAGCCCGTCAAAGAAGATTGGGAGGAACTCATTGACCGATGCGAACAAGTTGGAGTTGTAAGCAAAAAACAGTAGTAAAAATAGTTTATTTTTAACTCTTGTGCATTATTTTTTATTTGAATCTTGATTCTTGTACAGGATGCTTTCGAGATTAATTTTTCGTGCCCGCACGGTATGCCGGAGCGTAAAATGGGAGCTGCGGTTGGTCAAGATTGTGCTTTGTTGGAGGAAGTTTGTGGATGGATAAATGCAAAAGCAACTATTCCCGTTTGGGCTAAGATGACACCGAATATCACCGATATTACCCAGGTTTTATATTTGTCAATCTGATACTATCGTTTTATATTTTTGAATGAGAGAAAATTATATAGGAATTGTGCGAAATACTTGCAATTGGTGTTGTCGGTTATTGTTGAATTTGTTGCAATACATACATATATAAACACACACACACACACACACACACATACGCATACATGTATGTGTATATATGCATATTTAGTTTTTTCCTCAGAAGTTCCGACTTTGGCTAAATATTTACGCTGTTTTGTTTTGCGTGTATATATAGCCTGCTAGAGTTTCTCTGCAAAGTGGATGTGAAGGGGTTGCTGCAATAAATACAATCATGAGCGTCATGGGAATTAATCTCGATACATTGCGACCCGAGCCTTGTGTGGAGGGGTATGCGTTCTTTTCTTCTTTAAAGATGGTATTTCACACGGAAAAAAAAAAACATATATAATTTTCGACTTTGTGCATCTGAAATGTGTCTTTATCTGCGAAATTAGATACTCAACGCCCGGTGGATACTCGTCAAAGGCTGTTCATCCTATTGCGCTTGCGAAAGTGATGAGCATTGCAAAGATGATGAAAACAGAATTTGCCGACAAAGAATATTCCCTTTCTGCTATTGGAGGTGTCGAGACTGGTGGCGATGCAGCCGAGTTCATACTTCTTGGAGCTAATACAGTTCAGGTTCGAACTCCACTATAATTAATTCTCTCTCTCTCTCTCTCTCTCTCTCTCTCTCTCTCTCTCTCTCTCTCTCTCTCTCTCTCTCTCTCTCTCTCTCTCTCTCTCTCTCTCTCTCTCTCTCTCTCTCTCTCTCTCTCTCTCTCTCTCTCTCATTATGAAAGTCTTGAAAGAAAATCAAGGAAAATTGAAACAAAAACAGAACTCCGAAATATAATAAATAATATGACGGTGAATTCGATTCTATCATCAATTTCTATAAATTCAATTTTTGGCATTGTTTATTTATTCAACAAGAGCTCCGATTCTAGGTCTGCACTGGCGTTATGATGCATGGATATGGTCTCGTAAAGACTCTTTGCTCCGAGCTTCAAGATTTCATGAAAAAGCACAATTTTTCATCCATCGAAGATTTCAGAGGGTATGTTTATTATTATTATTATTATTCACTTAATCCCTTCATTATATTGTTAAATTAATTAATCCCATTTCTTATTCTTAAAATCTTTACGAGCAGGGCTTCACTCGAGTATTTCACCACACATACTGATTTAGTGAGAATGCAACAAGAAGCAATCCGTGAAAGAAAAGCGATCAAGAAAGGACTACAATCCGATAAAGACTGGACCGGAGATGGTTTTGTGAAGGAAACCGAAAGCATGGTTTCGAATTAAAATGGGTAAATACCGTCGAATCTTCCTCTTCGTTGTACTTTTTTTTCTTTTTCTTTTTTCTTTTTTAAATGAGAATAAATGGTCTATGTTAAAACCACAACTCCCCAGGTTAACTATTTTTTTTTTTTTTTTGCTATTAATGAATAAGTGGAAATGTTTCTACTTATGTTGCTTGGTGGACAGTAACAATCAATAATTAACTGTTGAATTTTCTTTGCCTGTGTGTATTTGTACAGATGATGCAGTCAGTAATTGTTGTTTTTGTTTTTATTTATTTTTCACTTTTTTTTGGATTCTTGTCTCAGTAATAAATTCTGTGTGTGATGTTTTTTTTGGGAAATTAAAGTATTTTAACAAAAATAGCAATTAAGGTGAATAACACAGTGTTTTTTTTTAAGGGTGAACTGTTGATCCCACAGACACCCACATGGGTGTGTGTGTGAGATTGTCGGTGTGAGGAGGATCAGATAATATATGGTAAATTACAAATCGCCTCCTGAGGTAAGGTCTATTTATGAAAATCTCCCTCATTTTTTGCATAATTATATCCACCTCTGTAATTTAGGGTGTAAATGAGCTGAGGTGGCTCTTGACTCGGTGAGCCGGCTCGCGAGTTTTATATTAAATTCTAATTTTATTTTTATATAATTAATATAAAATTAAGTAATAAGTTCATATAAATAATAAAAAAATAGGTTTTTTTTGTATTTTTTAAATAATTATTATAATAAAATTAAACATAATATTTTTTTTTCCGAACAAAATGGCTCATGCTCGAGCAAAAAAAATAGTAATCGAAGAGCTAGAGCTCGTCAAAATGGATTCGAGCTCGAGCTCGCTGAAACAACCAAGCTCGACTCGAGCTCGCCTCTTTTACACTCTTACCTGCCATTTATAGATTTCTTGCAGTAGCACCATTTTATAGGGTGTGGATGTATAAAATTTACAAACTGCAGGGGACTGAATATAACTTCTAAAAAATGAAGGGGTTCTTTCCATAAATAGACTCTACTTTAGGGAGGTGGTTGTAATTTACTAAAAAAATATGATATGCACCAAGATATATAATTGTCCAAATTGCACAGAGAGCCCTCATGATTGTGATAGTTTTGGATTATTAGATATATTATTCTCATCCATCCCATCTTTCCAAGATTTTGTATATGTACACTTTTTCTATTGCTTATCTGGCTGATATATGCATATATAGATGATTGGATTGAGTAAACGCAATAACTAAAATAGGAACTATGATGTAAGAAAGTAATTTACATGTTAAGTAGGGGTAATTTGCTAAATATCCTTCGGCACTAATTCTCTTTCAAATCAGGTGGGTTTTGGTAATTTGCTAAAAGTTCTTCGTTCTTCATCTCGCCTTTATTCCTTCAAATCCATTTAACACCGCTTCACTCCGTCAGATCCGTCCAACCACGTTTCACTCGATCAAATATGCTCCATCTCTGCTCTCTGCCGCTGCCATCGTCTAAGCACAGACGGGCACACGCACACGATCGATCACACACCTATATACACGCATACGCAACCATGCATTTGCACACACATACGATTTTGGTTACTTCCCTTCCCCTTCGCTGTAACCTAAGAATTATGACAACCAAAAATTAAAAATATGAAGAATTGTTTGGGGATGGCAGATGGTGATGTTGGTGGTGATGTACGCACCATAAATTTAAGTTTTTTTCTTCAGTTTATTTTAACTAAGCTATGCAAATAAGTTTTCTAAGCTGTCTAACTTCATAGTAAAATTATACGAAATACGTGTTAATTTCTAAGTTTTTCCCCATAAATATAACTAAGCTCTGTAAATAAGTTTTATAAATTGTATGTGTATGCGTTTTGAGATGTATCCATTCTTGTTTTAATTTGTTGTTCAGTTTATTTTAACCAAGTTGTTGTTTATTCATACAACTAAGCTATTGCTTGATAATATAACTAAGCTGTGCTAATCAGCGCGTCATCGTTACTGTTAATTTTGCTAAGCATTTCCGTTAAAGAGAATCCAAACCAGCATCGACTTAGATCCAACGCACAAGGACTTTTACCAAAATGGCAAAATCCATCCGTCCTTATAACTATAGAGAATATTTTTTAGGGGCTTTCAGCTAATTACCCCTATTAAATAAGACAATTGTTTTTATATGGAAATAATTACTAGTTTTCTCAATTCTTGATCTAATCAAAGTTGTACATGCAATTCTCACCTTCGACTCCTCTTTCAATGCTTTTCACTTCATTGAATTCTGTTTTCGCGCCTGAGAATTTCCTTCCGTCTTCTACTTTGTCTTGAAAAGTAACTACGATCGACAAATGTTTTCATGTTTTTGTCGAACTCTTTCCATTTTTAAGAGTTCAAATGTGCACGAAAAAACAAATTGAGTGTTGGATAATTTTAAAGAGTTTAATTTATGTTTTTTTTTATTAAATGTTATAGATATATCTTTATTTTATGCTAAAAACCCTAAAAGAAAATATGCTCCAAACACCTCGATGCTTCTACCCCACCCTGATCGAAAATTCTGGCTCCGCTATAGTTTTCCATATTTTTTTTGTGGTGTAGTTACATCGCTTTCAATTAATAATAACTATAGTATAAATAACTTGTGATCATTTATGGGTGATAATGCATATTCCCTACTGTTACAGGGGTTAATTTATCACCGAAATTTTCCCTTGTACGGCCTGATTTGCCCACCAAATCAGTCAGCCTTCCTCACGATTTTTTTCGCACGAAACGCACAACACAAGTCTTTTCAAACCACGTAAACGAGAACAAGAGTATGCAGCGGAAAACAAACACACAAGCACGTTTACGGGCAATGCCCAACCTTTATATTAATTCCCACAACGAATACAAAGGAGACTAAGGTGCACACACAAAATCCTCACTCAGAATTGCCCAACAATTGCAATCTGAACTCTCATATGCTAGATGATACTAGATGCCTCGGATTTGTGCACTCATAGCCCAATAAATACAAGGAAAATGTAGTTTTCACACAAAACTACCTAAGGACACATGGCAGCATACAAACATGACACTTGGCTAACTATTACAAGTAATAAGGGGCAGTTTTCATGCATTTTCAGGCCTCAACCGCTCCATAACTTCCTCAAATCCGCCCACAAGGCTGATTTCCGAAGCCCAACTTGATCGAGCCCGCGAACGCGCGCCAAACGGCCCAAACAGCCCGGCCGGTTGCTAGGCAGCCCATCTGCCTTGCCTTTTCCGCACTTTAGCTTCCCTTTACCGATTACTTGCCAGTTCTTTGCCCACACGGTCATCGGCACGCCCGCTCATCGGGCTGCCTTGCTTGCCTTGCCAATTTTGCCCACACTTGTCAAGTCGTGGTCGATTTCCCTCGAACGTTCGTTTGCCCACGTTATCGGCCGCATGCCGATTATTGCTCACGCTTGTCCGTCTTTGCTGCCGAGCAACGCCCGTGCCAGCCACAAGTACTTTCGATCACCGTTCCCACTTGAATCAAGCCGATCCTTGCTTTTCTCGGCCAAGCACCCCAAATGCTTGCCGATCACTCGACCACTCATTGGCCGATTGTGTGGCTGCCTTGTGCCAATGCCCACTTGGCACCATTTATCGGTCATGGCTCGGCCCCACTCGAGCCATTACCGATATCACCGATTAAGGGGGTAACAGACCTCCCCCACCAACGGTGTTCGACGCCCTCGTCGAACCGACACCATCGGCTTCGGCTTTCCCTCGTTTCCACTTGTCTTGCCACCGTCTTCGATTGTGCTTGAGCACCAGCACCACATCGAATCCCGAATTCCAAGTCTGATCCCACGAACATCCCACATATTCTTTCAGCCCTCGGAAAAACGAACGCCAACCACGTTCAAACAGCAGCACCCATCCACAAGTGAAAATGCTAGTTTTTGGCACAACTAGCATTTTATCTCGATTGCCACACCGATCGAGAAAGGAGACCTCCAGCCCACGGAAATCACCCAAGCACGGCTTCCATTTCATCCACACCAGAAACCAGCCCACAAAAAACCCAACATGCCACAGAAATTCAGAGAATACCACATTTGGAACCCACGAGTTGTGCCACGCACGGCAGCAACTTGGAACAAAAGTAAGGCCATAACGCCCATTCATAAGCCCAAATGAATACCTTAACTTGCCTTCTGCCCTCGACTCATTTCTCGGCAACGCACGTACAAGCAAACCAGCCCGAGAATTCACCGTCTTGGTTCCAACGGCTGCAATTAGGCTCGATGACTCCTCGTCGTTCGATTCTGCCTCCAATTGCACCGCAACCAACCTTGCCACCGGTTTCTTTCCCGCCTTTGCTTTCGTCACGTACAAGCATTCAACGAAGCATGGACGCTCTTCGTCCATAATCATCAACCCTCCGAGAAACGGTATCACCGCAGCCTTGGCAGCAAGTAGGAACTCTTGCCCCAATATCACATCGAAATCATCAAGTGGTACGGCAGTCAACCCGCACTGCCCTTTCCAAGAACCGATCACAAGATCGACATCGGTTCTGCCTCTCACCGGCCCCGCCTCTGAATTTACAGCCTTCACTTGACTTGCATGTTTTGAGAGAGTCAAGCCCAGCTTCTTGACTTCTCTCTCGGCAACAAAGTTATGAGTTGCTCCCGAGTCAACCATCGCCTTCACTTCCTTGCCATTGATCAGCACCGAGGCATACATCAAGCCCTTGGTACCGTTGGGTGCCTTGTCCACGACCAAAGCACTCAACAACTGAATCGGAGTTGCTCTCCTCGTCTCGTCCGATTCTTGCTCACTATCCGACTCCCGCATCAAAGCATTTAACTTGCTCCTCTTAGGGCAGTCCCTCATTCGGTGGTTGCCATCACATAGAAAGCACCCACGGTTCTGTTTGTTGACGACGGGCTGTCCACCGGTCTTGGCATGCACCGTGGATCCCTCGCCATCACCGCTTTCTTTTTGCTTCCAATTTCGGCCACCCTTGCCACCGAACTTCTTCCCCTTGGACTTATCCCTCTTCGAGCCTTCCTTATCGGAATCATCGGCCCCCATCACCTTGTAATCGACAAGTCGGTCCGCTGCCGAGATAGCACTTGGCAGATCCTTCACACCTTGTCTCCGCAACTCGGTTTGGGCCCATGGCTGCAATCCAGCCATGAAGTTGAACAGCTTATCTTCATCGGACATGTCACGTATGTCAAGGAGCAGAGAACTGAAGTCCTTGACATACTCCCTCACGGTTCCCTTGTGCTTCAATTGCCGAAGGGATTCCCTTGCAATCCAGCCCACGTTGCAAGGTAGGAATTGCTCTTTCAACTCCCGTTTCAGCACCTCCCAAGTCTCGATCTTGACTCGGTTGGCACTTGCATCGTCTGACAAACGAGCACGCCACCACAATTTTGCATCCCCCACTAGATACATGCTTGTAATGGTCACCTTCTCGCGGTCCGGAACCTTCGCTGCCTCGAAGTAATTCTCCATATCCCACACGAAGTTTTCGACTTCTTTGGCGCTGCGCACACCATCAAACGCAGTCGGTTCCGGCACACGAACCTTGGATCCCGATGTTCTGCCCTCAGAACTCGAGCCTTCATTACGAACAGCCCTTTTCAACACCGCCAGATTTGTAAGCATCCCATCAAGCTTCGTCTCAACGGCATCAATGAGGAGTCCCATCTCCTCGGCAACGGACGTGAATCTGCCCTCCACAAATTCGGGCAGATCGTCCAACGATCTTGACAAACGATCGATATCTCGCTTCCCATCAGCGAGTCTTTGCAAAATCGGTGGATCCGTTGGATCTAGGGGCGGCCCAACCAAGGCTTCAAGACGTTGCAGCCTTGATTCCATCTCTAGCATCATCACACGAGTAGGATTTGGATTTGTCGAAGATCCAGAATCTTCAGCCATGCCGAACAGCAACACGTTCAGAACCCTTGAACCGGGCTCTGATACCAACTGTTACAGGGGTTAATTTATCACCGAAATTTTCCCTTGTACGGCCTGATTTGCCCACCAAATCAGTCAGCCTTCCTCACGATTTTTTTCGCACGAAACGCACAACACAAGTCTTTTCAAACCACGTAAACGAGAACAAGAGTATGCAGCGGAAAACAAACACACAAGCACGTTTACGGGCAATGCCCAACCTTTATATTAATTCCCACAACGAATACAAAGGAGACTAAGGTGCACACACAAAATCCTCACTCAGAATTGCCCAACAATTGCAATCTGAACTCTCATATGCTAGATGATACTAGATGCCTCGGATTTGTGCACTCATAGCCCAATAAATACAAGGAAAAGGTAGTTTTCACACAAAACTACCTAAGGACACATGGCAGCATACAAACATGACACTTGGCTAACTATTACAAGTAATAAGGGGCAGTTTTCATGCATTTTCAGGCCTCAACCGCTCCATAACTTCCTCAAATCCGCCCACAAGGCTGTTTTCCGAAGCCCAACTTGATCGAGCCCGCGAACGCGCGCCAAACGGCCCAAACAGCCCGGCCGGTTGCTAGGCAGCCCATCTGCCTTGCCTTTTCCGCACTTTAGCTTCCCTTTACCGATTACTTGCCAGTTCTTTGCCCACACGGTCATCGGCACGCCCGCTCATCGGGCTGCCTTGCTTGCCTTGCCAATTTTGCCCACACTTGTCAAGTCGTGGTCGATTTCCCTCGAACGTTCGTTTGCCCACGTTATCGGCCGCATGCCGATTATTGCTCACGCTTGTCCGTCTTTGCTGCCGAGCAACGCCCGTGCCAGCCACAAGTACTTTCGATCACCGTTCCCACTTGAATCAAGCCGATCCTTGCTTTTCTCGGCCAAGCACCCCAAATGCTCGCCGATCACTCGACCACTCATTGGCCGATTGTGTGGCTGCCTTGTGCCAATGCCCACTTGGCACCATTTATCGGTCATGGCTCGGCCACACTCGAGCCATTACCGATATCACCGATTAAGGGGGTAACACCATATGTAATCCATCAAATATCATTTTCTAAATTGTATCCTACCAACTATTTATAAGAGTTTTCAATTTATGATTAGTAGGTTGAAAATCGAACGAACCCGATCGAAATTTGGATTTGAAGAAAAAAACAACCCTTTTGAAAAATCGATAAGTATTCTAATTGTTTTTCTATAAATATTTGCGTGAAAAAAAATTCTTCCAAAATCGAAAATTTTGGATCAACATCGGTGAAATTAATAATATTCATGTCTTTGTTCTACTATAATAGAAAAAAAAATATGAAAATTCATAATGTAACTTATAGAAAACAAATGGAACTTCGCGTCTCGAAAATCTAAAATTAAATTAAAAAAAAATCTTATATATTTTTTCTCAAAATTTCAAAACTTGAAATTTAACGATTTTAGGATTGCGTCTTTCCTACGACCAATTATTTAACGAGTTTCAGTAATGATATATGCTTGTATTACAATAACTAAAATTTAAATAATTACTCATTTATTGTTGCTTTCTAAACTAAGCCCTAAAAAAGGAATTCAAATGAATTCGGGTGCATTGCCCTCAAAACCTTGTAAATCGAGTTGTTGAATATAATCACCACATCGACCTAAAGTTTAAACTCTTAGTGAAATCAGAAACGTATCATTTAATATTAATATCTTCAATACATGCCCTCCAAGAAAAAAACTTCCTGAATTCGCCCGTGATGAAGTATTCAAGAAACGAGACGATCGACCATATAACTTTTATTTATAAATAAATATATATATATATATATATATATATATATATATATACAAAAAATTGTACTTAAAGGTAGTACAGTAATGAATTTGGAGTAATTATTAGTGATTGAGAAACACTGAGACAAAGCACTGCAAATTAATTAATTCAAGAAAAAAAGGGTCCCAAAAAAAAAAAAGAAAGAAAAAGGAACAGTTAAAACAACTGATTGATGATGAGAATTGGATCTTAATGAAATGTAGTCTCCAAGAAACTTGTGAATTGTTCCTTTCATCACTGTAACAAACATATATACATATCTATTTATAATTAATTACAACTCATGCATGCGTCCATCAATCACTCTCTCTCTCTCTCTCTCTCTGTGTCTCTATACATATGTATATGTATCTATACATGTATATATATATGATGCATTTAGGGCAAATAAATATTGGATGTATATTTGTGGGGAAAGAGATAGATAGATATAAATGGAGAGGAAAGGAGGAGATGATGATATTATTGAAGAAGAAGTGGAAAAGGTGCAGAGTTCAAAAATTACTATTAATGGAAATAAAGATATTCTAGAGAGAGAAAGTGATGATGAGAGTATTCTTATTAAGAGAGAAATTGCTTCTCATTCTTTGTATTCTCAATTGGTTCACTCCCACTTGGACTGCTTGAAGGTCTGTCTCTGTGTGTGTTTTTTTTACGTTTCTTGAACTGTTTTATATATATATATATATATATATATATATATATATATATATATATATATATATATATATATATATATATATATATATTCTTCCATGTTTTTTGTCATACACATTTTCTCATGAGGGTTTCTAATTTTTTATTTTTTTTATTTTTTTATTTTTGAGGAAGAAACCCTCCAAACACAATTATAATTTTATTGGCGAATTTATAATTTATTTTAAATAAAAATAATAAATTAATTCAATATTTATCTGCGAATTTGATTTGGGGAAGGAAATACAATTTCATGTAAAAATGCAACTAATTAATTAGTGCAAAAATAGGACACCATTCTTGATTCTTGCATGTGGAATTAACCATATATATATACACAATAATAGGTTATAATTATTTATATAACCTCAATATATAAAAAGGTAATTAAAAAAGAAAAGAAATATATGAACATGTTTACGAAATAGAAATTGGAATTTTGCAGCTATGCTACTTAGGTAAGATGGAGAATATTGTAGTTGATTCAACAGCACTTCCCAACCGTCCGATCTTATTCGCATCCCATCAATCCGAGCTGGACCAGTTCATGGTATATATATATATATATTTATTATATGTTAAATATATGTTGTTAATTAATAAGATATTTTAATAAAATGTGGTTGGAAAAAAATAAAAAAATAATATTGTGCAGGAAGCATACTGTATGACACTAAAGAAGGTGAAGGAGAGAATAGAGGAACCACAGCAAGAGTCAATGGCATTCATTGACCAAATGTATTCTCAACTTGGAGACCTACTTATTGACTTTCCTTCTTCTTCCATCCACCACCAGGTCTCTCTCTCTCTCTCTCTCTCTCTCTCTCTCTCATATGTAAAGAGAGAAATCAAATTTGAAATGCGCATGAATTAAAAATTGTTCATATACATGTGTATATGCAGTATATTTATTGTTGAATGACCATCTCAACCAATACGCACGTTAAGTGCAGACGAAGTACATTTAAAAGTCTTTTACTTGAAATGTTTGAAATAAGTGGCAGTGAAATTCGAACTTAGGATCTTGTATTTATCATGACTCTGATACTATGTCACATGACCACTTCTACCAAAAGTTTGAACTATTAGTGAATATATATATATATATATATATATATATATATATATATATATATATATATATATATATATATATATATATATATATATATATATATATATATATATATGAACTTATTTCCACCTGCACTATATGTTAGATATTGAAATTATAAGGGCATGTTTCAATCTATCAAAATGGTCAACGTCATGCTAAAGAAGAAAAATGGTCAACATTGGTTAAAATGTTAAGAAATTAAAAAAAGGGAGTTTACTATAATTTCTTTTATGACATCATCAAATCTTCATAAAAAAACGGAAGTTGTAAGTTGTAACTGGTAAAAATGGAACCAATCTAAAAAATAAAATTAATTTGGAATATTTATTCATCCAAGAAGGATGTCCTTGTAATTTTACTATCAATGATTTATTAATTTAATAGTATTCTTGTACCCTTGATGCATATATATATTTATTGCTTATATATATATCTTATATATATATTTATAATCTTTTGTGTTATAGGAGTTAGAGAAGCAGGTGAAGAGAAATGGTTCAAAGAAAAAGTAGAGTCTAAGCACCAACCCAGTTCAATCAAATTAATTTCATTGACCAGTTCCCTAATATTTTCTCTATTTCTCTATTTTTATTTTTTTAAATGTTCTAATCTTTAATTTCCTCGGCCACTATTAATTTTCGAAATGCATTTTTATTTTATTCTTGCATTTACCTACTTTTTAGTGTTGAATGTTAACTTATTATTTTTTCAATATTTGTTTATCGAAAAAAAAAATATTTGTAAAAAAATTTCAATGATATTGCAAATATTCAGCATATACACAAGAATCCTGTATATATACATACTAAAGCAACAATCATGCATTTATTCCCACAACAGACAAAAAAAAAAAAAATAACAATGTCGAACGTCAACGAAAAGGAAATCGGGTATGACACGGTGATTTTAAAACTCGTTAGAAGCACAGTCACAAGTACAAGAACAAAAGGAGAAAACTTACAACAATTCCCCTTCACTAATATTTTTCAAGAAAATAAAATAAAATAAAAGAAGCAGCTGCAAAACTCCCTATAAATATTCCTGCAGATGTAATGCAAAAAAAGCCTGCATGAAAGAAGCAGCAGCTTGTACAGCACAAAACAAAAAACAACAAGTAAGAAAATATATCTGGCTATTATTAGTATGTATACTTCCTCCTCAATCACATTCTTTCTCCCAATCATCCACCACATCACCTCCCTGCTGACCTGGCATATTCGAAACACGTTCCTCCATCTTAGAACCCGACAAAGAAGAACTTTCCGGAACATTCTCAACTTTCACAGAAGAAGCTTCAGCCGAAGTAGAGCTACTTCCTGATTGAAGAACATTCCACCTGTTGCTTGAAGAAGAAGAAGAAGCAATCGGCCCTTCCTTTGCTTTCAAGTTAGGTAATGATTTGGAATCAGACACATTAGCAGCTGTAGCCCATTCTTCAGCACCACCCCACGAACTCTCCGACCAATCAGAAGAATCCTTCAACACCACCTTCTTCCACGGGTTCCCCTTCAACGCCACTCCAGAAGAAACCGCAGCATCTTTTGAAGGTGCACCGGATCCCCACGCACCGCCACCACTCCCTAAAACTGCACCGGAAGAAGCACCACCACCGCTTTGAGGAGCCACAACAGCACCGTAATACACAGAACCCTGATCCAATCTCCTCATAGCAGTAGCCGCACGAGCAGGATCACTAAAAACCGCGAGCGCATTCTTATCGTTCAACCAAACCAGTTCACATTCACCACCAAACCTCAGAACCAAAGCACTCACATCCGCATCTCTAGGCAGATCGAATAAAGCAACAACAAGACGAGGGTCCATGTCAACAAGGGAATCGAAAATCGGGGGCTGTAGCATGTTACTTGGAGTGCAAGTTTTGAGACCGAGGACACGAGCTGGCGCCTTGGACTTTGGCGTGACATGCACAATAAGGAACCTCTTTGGCTCCCAGCCAGCAGCATTGATGGAAAGCTTCCATCTCTCTGCTATCAGCCTAACTGCATCTCTCTTCTCTTTCGTCATCACACAGAAGACGTGGAGTTTGAGAGCAGTCAACCCCCCTCTGCCCCTGCCAAGAACAAGATATCTGCATCTCTCTTCAACAGATATTACCCATTTCGGGTCCCGCCTGAGGAGGTCTGAAAGTACTTCGGAAACCGATGCATTTTCGCCAAAATGAAGTGCGTCCAAGTTCGGTGGATTTACACCAAAAGCATCAGCAAGAACCTTCTTCCGCTCCACCTTTGTGCATTCGTCGTCACACATGAGCTTCCTCTGACCAAGTGGAGTTTTCTGGCCATTTTCTTCAGTGGGTTGTAGAGATACAGGCAACTTCTGGACTACAGAAGCTTCTAAAACCGTATCGACATTATACCCACCAGTGCTACCTCCAGCATCACAAGGAACTGTTGCAGTTATTCTGCCACACGAACAAGTAATTGTGACGGAAAACTCACATCTCACATCGGGGCACATAGTGGAAGGGTGGCAGAGGGAAGTGCATGTATGCCTGCACTCTCTTCTTGGAGCCCCACATGTCTGCCCACAAGATGCCCTCGAACTGGTGCTCGATGCTGCAGAAGATGATGAATCACATGGCGATGGATGACAAATTCTAGAGCATGCGTGCAAGCCACACCGCCTCGTCTTTCCACATAGTTTATTACATCTAATATCCTTCGATCCACAAGGTATGTTCCGGAGGACTACATGTCCACCAACACACTCCTTGGCAATAGGAACAGTGCACGGTGGGCAATCCCCGAGGTGACAGCTGTGTGAAGATGGATGACCGCATGGCTGAGGGACTGAGCAAGGGTACTGGCACGAAGGTGGAAGTGTACCGCAAGGTAGCGGAGGAGGGATAGAAGTTCTACCACAGGCACACGATAAGTCGGTGAAAATCGTCTCGGGACAGGGAGGGCAGTGACCACTGTGACATAGGGATATGCAAGAATGCTGCCCACACCGTAGCTTCTTCTCGCATGGCATTGAGCACTGATGCGGGTCCCAATCAACCAAGGAAGAAGTGGCAGAATCGGAAAGAGGGCAGCACCGGTCACTACACCTATGCCTTCCACAGCTTTTCTTCCGGCCACAAGGTTTATTACAAGTGAATTTCTCATCCTCTCTGGTAGTTCTGTAGCACTCCACAGTTCGAGAGGTTGACCCACAACAACACTTTTGGGTAACAAGAACACGACATGGGGGACAAACCCCAGAATGGCACATGTCCTTGCACGAATGCGATCCACAAGGGAGGATCTTGCTGCAGACCTCCGAACACGTTGGAATCGGATCCAAACAGCTCTGTCTGTCATCATTTAACCTCGTCTTACCACAGCAGCATGTCTTAATCTTGCTTGGCAGCAACTCGCATTCCCCGCATGGGCCTGGATGGCAAGTTTCATGGCAAACATGATTGCTGCAGTTAAGTTGATTCTCGCAAGTCAAATTGCACGAGAATACACCATCTTCCCCCTTGATTTCTCCCTTCACAATCATATCTCCACAAAGAACACTCTCAGTCTTTTTCTTGCAGAAACAAGAAGCATTAACCAGGACCTGGCAAGGATCACAAGGACCCACATGGCAAACATTTCGACAACTATGGCGCCCACAGTCAAGAAGCTGATCACAAGTCTGCCCACAGGTCAGAACAGATTTCCGATCCGAGCATCTCGTGGCAATAACTTTCTTCCCACAAGGGCACCTTCGTGGAGGAGCAAAGGCCTTGCAAGGGGGACAAGGACCCGGATGGCATTGCAAAACACAAGAATGAGGACAGATATCCTCATTAGTCATACCTCCACCAGGAACTTCCCTTTCCAATGGTTTTCCACATGACTCCCCACAAGAATGCGGAGTCAAATATAAATCTGAAGGAGGGTCAGGTCGCTTCCCACAGAAGCAGACATATTGAATCTCCTTAGCTGACGTAAGCTGCACATGCTGGCATCCAGGGCAACGCCAATTAAAACCCTGGTTCTTCTCAGCCAACAAATCAATAGAAGTGGGAGCTCTAGCCCATTTCTTTATGCAATTTAGGTGGAAAATTGAATAACAGCTAGAACAGGACCAAATGGGTGCAGATCTTCTCACCATGTCATAACAAATCATGCACTCAACAGATCCCTTCAAAAGCTTTTCCTGAATTTCCTGCACAAGCTGGGGTATGTTCACACCCTTGAAAACCTTAGTATCCTCGTTGTGATTATACTTCCCCTTCTCCTTCTCCTTCTCTCTATGATTGACATGCCGAGGTGGGTTTCCTCTAGAACCAACATGGTTCTCTCTCTGACTGACATACCGAGGTGGGTTTCCTCTTGATCCAACATGGGTCTCTCTCTGACTGACATACCGAGGTGGGTTTTCTCTTGATCCAACATGGGTCTTATTCCTATGAGGAACTGGCCCAACTGACCTACTGACTGACTCTCCAACATTTCCATTCGCATTCTGACTGGAACTATCAACACTAGGTGATGGAACTGGCGTGGCAACTGGCGTGGCAACTGGCGTGGAAACGACAGGGACAGAGCCACGGGGGACCCACTCACGACGGTTATCCCGCAAATTGTTGTTATTTCTAGGTCGTTGACTGCTGCTTTCCCTAGGTTTGTTTTGCTCAGAAAAGCTCATATTCTGATCAAAAGAAGCCAAACTATCGACGCCCCGATCCGTAGCAACAAGTGGGGGAAGTAGATGGATCCCGATCTCCAATAAACTGAAAGATAACACAAGCAAAACAATCACATGAATGTAAAATCTACACCATAAAACCCAAATAGCAAACTTGTCAAACATGCCACAATATTAAAGGAAACCCCAATAATGTTTATGGAAAGACCAACACCAATCATCCATCGAAAACTAAATTGCAATAAAAATTGGACCATGGCCACATCAAGAATCTAAAAAAAGGAAAGCGGTATGAATGAAACATCCGGTTCACGAGGAAACAACAGGTAAACCCAGTCTCTCCCTTCAAATTCCAAGTCATATATTATTACAAATACAAACAAACACTCCCTTTAGCTTCCTCTCTATTGAGGTAATTACTTACTTGGAAAGCATTAGATTTTTCTTTCCTATACTGATTTATCGGGTACTCCGGAAAATTCAATGAGCATAATTTTAGAGTCTATCAACTGGTGTGTAATTTGTGAGCCTACTCAAATTCTAGCACGAAGGCAATCAATAGATCACTCTATTTATCATGGTACTGAACTATGACCTTTTATGTTCCATTGTGAACTATGACCTTCTAATGACCGCTGTCGATGCACAAAACAAAATGAACGACGTAAACTAAAAAACCAGATACAAGTTCTTTAAAACTAAAATGCAAAGTTGAATGGTTTATAACCCCATAAAAGTTCAAAAACAACAGCACGGACTAACAGTTTTAATTGATAAAAACAACAACAAATAAGCAATCACTATACATCATTTATTAAATGACCAATGCCATGCATTTATAAGAGGATGGAACTCAAGATCATATTTAGAGTTTGGCCTGGTTATAATCAGAATTTATTGGCATAAAGCTTCTAATTATTCTTATGAGCCTTTAAACTACAAGTCATCTTTTTACACCACATGAATGACTCTTTAAGTGCAAGGATGGAAAAAATAGGAACCTGATCTAATATCCTACAGCATCCATTTCAGATATTAATCAACGTCAAATTGAAATTCCGACGGATAAAGGCCATTACAACTAGTTGATAATCATATACAACTTTGATTTGTTATAAATAGGTCAGAAAATGCCAGAAGTTATAAATTAGATTACAAATTTTAGTGATCTCACCATGGAAAACTAACAAGTCCATCAAACAAGGTCTTGCAAGATAGTAAAAAGTGAATAATACTGCAACATCGAAAAGAACCATAATACAAAATAAAAATAATTACATGGCAAAACAAGTTTAATAACCATATTTATCAGATTAATTCCGACCTACAACAACAACTACAAAAGGGAAAACGCAGTAAAAACAATCAAACAAATTCCAACACCACGAATACATAATCCACACCCTAAAACCCAAATTAGCATGATTATCAAACAAAAAAAAAAATATCACAAAAATTGGAAACGCAAACCCTAAAATCATCACGAATAAATAATCCACACCCTAAAACCCAAATTAGCATGATTATCAAGCAAAACAAAACCACAAAAATTGGAAAGGCAAACCCTAAAATTACTTATGCGATGATAGACACCATTTCGTTCGTAAAAAACATATATATAATTGAAAAATGGAACATACCTAATCGAATCGGAAATCCCAGTCACAATCGCTTCAAATTTGCAAATCGGAGAGTACGATAAGTGATAACCGAACACCGACACTCCTTTTCTTCGGCCCAAGTTTTCCTCTGTGTTGAGGAAATGAATAAATTTGGAAGGAGTAGATTTTTCTATCTGCAGAGAGTGAGTATTTATAGGGTGGATATCCGTGCCGCCCAAACAAGCGTATATTTTGTTCAACCGAAGAAAAAAATGGGAAAATAAAATTAAAAATACGAAAGTACAGAGAAAGTGAGATTTCCAGATACAGCTCAATTAATGGGCTTTTGTATAATGGGCTTTTATATAATGGGCTTTTTTATTATTAAAACTGGTTATCAGGTCCGAGGCGATTAGGGACCACCACACAATATATCGGTGCGGCGGTGATTAATCGGAGATAAATCGAAAATAAATCGGTTTTAGATTTAGTGTAATATATTTCTCTAAATATTATAATACTCAAAATATTTATCAAAAAATATTTAAACATCATTCTATCCTATTGCCGCCTGCCGCCGCCAAGCGCCCTCTCAGTCTGTAGCAACGGTCGGACAAGTGTGGCTTGTTTTGAGTTAGTAAATTTTGGTTAGGTTCTTCTTTCTTAATGAGGTCGTCACTTGGTTTGATCTGGTTGGTTCTGGTTAAAAGAAATTAGGTTGAAATCTGAAAAAGAATAAAAAAAAAAAAAAATTGATTTATTAACCCGATATATCGATTTGACCCCACCTCAAATCGCCACAAACCACCGCAAACCGCCTCACCGTCCAAAGATCGATTTTTCAAACCGCCTCGCCAATATCATAAAGGTTTACGATCACCACGGATATGACGGCCAATATATCAGCCGCCACGACCGATATTTAGACCACCGGGATATGTAAACAATAGCTCAAAATGACATAAAAACGCAGGTAAAAAGGCTCAACAAGAAACACTAAATCCATGTAACACAGTACAACACAATGTCGCATCTAACACAAACACGTTTATACATCTCAATTGTACATTATTATTTATTATTATTATTATTACAATACAAATATAACAAAACATGATAAATAGGGATGTCAAACAATAGAACTAGAAATGCAAACCCTTTCTTGAGTTTCATTTCCTTCCTTTACCTATATATATAGGAACCATCAAAATTCCCAAATCCTCTTCTCATAAAATTACAACCCCCACCCTTAAATAAACAAAAAAAAAATTAAAAACAAAATAAAATAAAATTAAGGCGTTACATCGGATGGAAATCAGAGCACAAAATCGGTATTTTTCGCTCGTGTTTCGTTCCGTGGGGTAACCAAAACTTTTAGGGCGAAACATTTGTATACAACTTCAAGGCATTTTACTTTGAATCTGCCTGTGGATATGTACGAGGTACTCAACATACGAGAGCCCGCTTGACAACTTGTCTTCTACCATGTAAGAGAAGAACATCATCCCTGTACACAAAGAAAAACCGAATCTTTAGAAACAATTGGCTCCTCGCAAAGAGTTACTATAACAAAATAAGTAAAAATACAAATATTATTTCTACATTAGAGAAGTTTTTATTTTATTTTTGTACTTCATCATGTACTATTTCAACAAGCATTTCGCTTCACTTCTCTCCTTTTTATTTATTTATATTTTATTTATTTATTTATTTGTGACGTTCATCGGGATGTACTAACAGGGGTAAGGTTAATACAAAGACGAAAAATTCAGCCATTTGTGGTGGAAAATAATTTCTCAGACACTGACCTGATGCATCTCCCTTTTTGCACAATTTAAAGCTGCAGAATTGGAAAGAGAAACAGAAAAAGGTGAAGACGTGTTTGAAAATAATGGAGCATGTCGTAGAATAAAATAAATATTCACAGCTGCAAGAAATAATAAAAATATTTTCATACCGTAGATAAGAACATCGCTGACGCCTTATTTCGTTTACAACAGCGTTCAGCTTCTTTGACAGTGGATTTTCGAATTCTTGCAGAACAAACTGGTAAAAGAGCAGAATGCCGTAAGTGCTAATTTCTTCGGTAATACAAGAAATCGATCCACATATATACTCTACGACTGAGTTACACTTTTGCCAAAGCAAGTGGTTCATTTTGCCATGAAGATATGTCAAAAAACAAAGGGCATAAACCTAGTAAAAGAAATCGATACACATAAACACTGCTAATGAGTTGCACATAAAAATCATGGGTTGTAAAAGAATACCTGATTAGAAATTTCTTCAAGTGACGATACGCCAAACAGTTGTTGCAAAATATTCGGTTGAGCAGAATTACCAACATAAATTAAACAATCTTCTCCATTCTCGAGAAGGTATATTCCTTCATCAGTAATGTGCTCGCTGGAAAGTGGGATGTGACTTGGAATTATCGAATCATCCGACTCGTCCTGCCAATTAAGCACTAAGAATGAGACAAAGATCATACAAAAACAAATGCTAAATTTAAATAAAAAAATAAAAGATAGAGGTTTATTTTATAATAAAATAAATGTCGCTGTTTATTTATAAATTATATATTTTCATACAAGTATATTCATATAAATATTGCTATCATCTATCAATTTCCAATTTATTGTCTTATCGTGTAAAAATTAATTAAGAAAGAAACAAAACTATTCAGGGATTTGCTATCGAAATGTATTTTAATTTATTTCTTTTAATTACGAAAAGTGACGCACTAAGTAACAACTTGAAGTGTTCGTATGCGTATATCAACTTCATACCTTGTCATCAAGGTCATGAATGGCTATCATCCTAGGAAACACCAACGGGATTACCGAAGGAGTGGGCAAAGGGGAAACATTACTAATCCAAAAGGACCTATCATCAATTCTTCCATCAGAGCGTAATCCAGTGCTTTTGAGCAGAGCTGAAAAGTCGGAAAATTAAACTGTTAGAACCAAACATGACACAATGACATGAAGTTGAGTAATACTCTTTCAACCTGTGACAGTACAGTTTGTATCTATTTTGTGATATTTACTCTAGATAAAATACTTTAGTATAATTACACATATGAAAAATAGATGATCGGTCATTTTGGAAGAAGGTACTTAACTAAAAATAAGACTGGCAAGGAAAAAAAACTGCGACGTATAATCGTAGGAAACTTACCGAGTGTATATAAAGGTAACAGTTTAAGTGCCTCGGGCAGAATGAGTTGTCCAGAAGATGATGTTACCGTGGCACAATACTTGCGATACGAATATAAAATGTTGATGCAAACATTTGTAGCTTGATCTCTCACTTGTGCAAGAGGAGCTGAAGGTATTTCATTAGCAGCTGTTCCCCCGAGTTACAAAAACGAGAGAATCTGACGTCAGTACGCTATAATCAAATGGATAAAATTACGAGAACTAGAGAACAGATAGGCACCAAAAAAAACAATAATTTCGATAGCAAATTCAGTTTAGAATGTCTAAAAAAATAATTATATCAGGAAAGTACCTTGCTTCAAGAGGCAAGCAAATTGGGTGTCTAGGTCAGCCGATCTGAACAAATTACTGAGCATGTTGGTGCAAGACAGAGACAAGGTTGAAACTCGGATTCGTCTTTGCCCATACACGGTGGTGTAAAGAAGGGCACACTAAACAACACAAACATAATAATAAAGTTCAAAAAAGGTAATTAGAAGATCTATGTCTACGCAGTGAAAGAGGATAAAACAATCTAGCTTTCCATGGTAAATAAAAGAAATATTATTGATACATCAGTCTCGTGGATGAAAATTTCCAAATTCCAAGTAGTCGGCCATGTTCAAAGGCTTGAAGTAATAATACCTGAAAAGCACATTCTGAACCTTCATGCAGTTTGTCGTCGTGTTTTAGGGTTACCATTATCGTTTTGTCACAATCGATCTGAGAAAAAAATAATGTTAATTTAAGAGTACACAAGAATGTCCCAGCAACACGAGGATAAATATGCAGCAGCAATAAACATTCTGCTTCATAAGTAATGACTAAAGAAAGCAATGAAGAA